GGGAGGGATGGGATGCTGAGGCGAGAGGTCTCGGGGGCCAGTAACGGATTCCGGAATGCATCGAGGGGCATTCATGCAACCCTCCTATCCATCTGCCCGTTGGTTAGGTCATTCACTCAAGGGTACCGAGGATGTTGACTCAACGGAATCAGCCTTCGGGTAGAACCGGATAAAGCTTCGAATCCTTGAATAGCCGTCCCTCCACCGAAGCCAAAAGTGGAAAAGAAAAAGAGGGTAAGACCCTGAAGTCGATCCGCGATATAGGAGTACTCCGCCGGGGAGCTGCACCAAGGGAGTGACCGAGCAAGGGCTATGATCAGAGCCAAGCAACCGCGGGACTTGTTGCATGTACTCCTTTTTCTCTATACCCAAGGTTCTGAAAGAAATATTAAGCTATGATTCATAAGAAACATCCGAACTTCCAATCTCAAGAGAGGGGGCAGCTTCATATCCTCAAACTGAACCCCGTGTGACTCTCCAGCTTGTGTTCGCTAACTGAAATGATCCGTCATCCAAGCTAACTTCACTTCTTTCCTAATAAGATTCTAGGGTGTTAGGATGTCCCCCGTGGGGTCATCTGCCCCATCCCCACTTTCTATCATAGCAGTGCACCATACTCTCTTACCAAACTATGTTCTAAAGAGAGTCTGTTTTCTGGCAACATAGTCCGTTTTGAGCGCCCATAGATGTCGAACCTCTTGAACAACTTCCAATTAATGATTTAGAGGGCACCCGGGCTAGCCCGGATCCGTCTCAGACGCTTACGAAGAAGGCAAAGACCCCGCCCACCCTGCGGCTAAACCCGAAGCAAGCCTGAAGCAGTGTAGCAAGACCTTCTATCCCTCCATTGAGGTCAAACCTCTCCATTTACCCGTTGTTTGTCGGACCCGATTTCGTAGACAAGTGTCTGTCTGCCATTTCACAAAGGAACTCTGCCCTCTCGTCACGCTTGCCGACAACCCGCTTTCTATCCCCCCAGCACTCAGTGGAAGAAGAGGGATCAAGTCATGCAGTCTCCAATCCAATCCTTGCTCCCGCAGTCAGTCCTTGGTTGATCCCCAGGTTCTGGTTCTGCCTCATCTGATAATAGAAGTACCTCTGCAAGGACTCCATCTCAACATCAATTCGCATTTGATGGCTATTTTACTTTAACATTTTCATTAACGCCTTCCGCTTGTAGACAGACAGAAAGCAGAAAGAGAGCCCGAGGTGCTGACCCGCAGCGGGGCAGGCCCGTCTATCCCGATCGGGATGATAAAGACTTGTCCTTACTTGAATTAACACTTGAATGAAGGAATTATTATCGCTTAGCGCTTGTGCTAAGGAGGGAAATATCAATAAAAAGAGTATCGGTTCACTCTTCTTGCCCGGGCTTGGCTTTCAGACTTGACACCCTTCTTGTCGGAGTGAACGGGGTTGCCTCGTTTCGGGGTTATCTTGTTGAATGTCCGTTGAATCGTATATAACAGATTGTCTAACTAAAGAGGTTGGGAAAGACCTCCATACCTACCGATCTGAGTACAGAAATGCTTGTGTAAGAAAATGGGTCGTTCTTGTATATGTCCACTAATTCATATATCCCCAAGGAACTCTCATTAGAAGGTCATATCCAAGTCCATAACTTATTTTGTAATAGAATAGCCCTTTGACCCCAAAGAAAGAAGTTTCCTCTTCCATTTCTTAGGAGGGCTTTAGCCCACCTATGTTAGCAGGACATTTCGTGCAAGAACTGGGTTTGAGTTAGTGCGCTAACTAGGTTGTTTTTTCTCCCCTAATGGCTCTATCTTTGAGGTAACCCGGACTAGTAGCAACCGATCCTAGTAAATAAGATATTATTTCATAGAATTGGTTGTTCTTTCTCTCTCCTTTCTTCTAGAGGAATTCAGTCGTTCATTTCGGTCTCACTTCGTTACTGTACCCCGGTCTCACTCCGACAGCGTCCTATCCTAGACCTCTGTCTATCCCGAATTGATATAAATTCATAGTTAGGGTAGCCAGCCCGGTAACGCCGACAAGTGGGAGGGTCTGCACTTTCCCTATCATACGATTCTGCCAGACAATTCTATTTCATTCATTCTCCATTCAAAACCGTCTACTCAGGGAACCCATAATCTGACGATTCTTTCATATGATTTTTTTCGTGGAATTCGACATCGGTGATCTAGGACCATCCTTTCTTCTTTCCATTCCAAACAGGAATGGTTGGTATGCGGTCCGTCCTTAGAAATCCCCCGGGAATCCCCCTTTTGCGATTGTTCCAAAGCGTGCTTCCGTTTCTTGTTCTTCGAGCTCAACCGGTCATGCTTCTTTCTCAGTTGCGCGATTCCTAGCTGCGGATGTAGGTGAGTCTGATTGTTCTGACTTCTACTGTTGTAAGTTGCCTTAAGGCGCCTTCCAGTTCCAGCCCAATAGGGGAACTTTCCGGTGAGGAGGATCTCCATTTAGAAGAAGGAAGAAAAACCTACGTATCCTTTCGCCTGGAGCTAGGGTCAAAGATCAGTCCAAGCTAGGATCAGCTCTCGGAAGTCAAACCTCTCCTCTGCAGCTAGGTCAGTTCGGGCTACGACCCTTCGAGCAGGGCAGTTCATGAGCTGCTATCTCCGACCGAGGTTAGGTCTTCTTTTGCTCTGCTGCTGTTATTCTTCCTCCAACCTGTACACAAGCCAAGGCTTCTCGAAGTCAAGTACATCAAAGGTAGGGGAAGAAAGGGTCATCTCAGGATGGACTCAATATCTATTATCTTGCCACTTCCCTTTCTCCAAATCTTTCGTTTCAAGCATCAAACGAAAAAAAAAAGTCATAAGAGAGTAGACATATAAACAAGTAAACACGGCCCAGGAAGAATGTACCGAAACATCATACATATGAGACAGAAAGCTTCGTCTACCCTTGTGAAAAATTCTGTATTGATCGACCTGTGTGACACTAGCCAATCAATTCATTCAATCGACGAACTGGTCGGGATGATAACCAGAGACTTTTCCTGTTCTTGGAGCTCAATCACTAAGGCAGGCTGCTTTCCGAGTCTCCCCATTTCTGTATTTAAAAAAATGGGGATCCCTCCTATCCCCTGCTAGCTGGATAAGGTGGGTTACTTTCTCATAGTCTCCATTTCGAGATGGTGGATCAGGCCAATCAGACTTGAGCTCTCTCGTCTGGAATGGAGGGACGTTTAAGAATTCCTTTGGTAGTAGGTATGGGGCATGCTTCTTTCAGGAGACAAGCTACCCCTGAGGCAAGTAGCTAGTTGACTGTAGGTTTAGAGCACGCTAGGATAGATTCTAACTAATTCTCTCTCTCCGGTCTTGCTCTTCCTCTTGCTAGGCGAATGGGCTTTGGTGGATCCGATCCCCCAAGAAAGGTTTTCATTCCAGCTCTGGGGGTTGTCGTAGATCACTAGGAGAGATAAGAATGTATTAGCTGTTAGCTCTTCTTGCCTAGTAGCAGTAGCGCTAGGCTGTCTTCTCTTTGTAGTTGGGAGAGCTGGATGGCGCAAGGGGCCTTTCTTTAGGAATTCTTAAACCGCGGGCTCCATCTCCATAAGTTCTTGCCGAGGACTCGTCAGAACAGCCCTTCCCTTCCTTCCTTTCACCAAGGGAGCCCTTTTTCCCTTACGCGCTTCTACAAGAGCCATTATTTCGTCTAGGCTCACCCGGGCTTCGGATCCCTTTATAAAAGGATTCTACAAAGAGTCGCCTTGGGAGGGAAGTTCCGGCAGCTCTTCCAGTCGAGAAAAAAAGCAAATCCATAAGAGAAAGAAGAATAATAAAGTCTACTTCGCACCTTCGTGCTCAACATGTTCTGATCCCGCTCCAACCGGGTGTCAGTGATCAGTCCCGCTAGAATGTATTCCTAGAAAGACTTCGTTAGTTTTCAGGATTAGCAAGAACACTTGCACGCCAAAATCCAGCGGGAAAGTTCAAGAAAAGGCACGAGATCCATTTCATCATATTTTGAGATTTTATCTTCCTCTGGAATTGCTCTTCCGGTGCAAGAACTAGAATAGGCTATGCTTGGCGAGATCTCCGCTATCGGGCAAAGAATATCTCCAACTATTACAAATACCGGATTTGAGGTGACCACAGGTTGCTTAGGAGGGTCTATTTCAATGACACCATCATTTAAGAACTTTTGGATCTGATTTTTAAGAACCCAACAATCTTCTATCGGATGACTAATAACCCGATGGAATTAGCAGTATTTGGGATCTCCTACTCGTTCCACCTCATCTGGTCTCTTAGGTTCGGGAAGCTCGATCAACCCTTGCTCTAATAAAGATGTGAAGAAATCTTCAACATCCTCATTTCGAAAGGAATATTTTTTGATTTTTCTTTTTATTTTTCCCCAGCGGGATAAATAAAATATCTTGTGGGGGGGCCCACCTCCCTTTCCCCCCCTCCCATGGCCGAAAGCCTTGGTCCGTGCTTCTCGACCACGGCCTCTCTTCTCGATTGAAGCACTGCTATTCCGTCGCTAAAACTCATGAAGGCCCACCCACAGGGTGGCCCTCTTATATAATAGAAGGCGTGGGTCGATAACGCAAGTCTGTATTTCCGAAGCATTTTTACCTAGAATAAACCGCTATTGACAATTTCCACGGCACGAAGGTCAAATTCGCTATACATGCCAAAAGTGTCTAGGCTGGCATAAATTTGTGAGAGTAATTCGATATTATTATTTCCGTCAACAAGAGATTCGATTACATCATACACGTGTTTTCCGGGCGGCAGTTCAATGTTAGTATTCTCGAATAACGGTGCTAGCTGGCGATCAGCGATCTGCTCTTTGAGTGTATCACTAACAGATTGTACGACTCGGTCTTGGTAGTTATCGGGTGTCATGTTGCGCAGACGCGACACCCGCCACGCCGCCAAAACCCCGATGAAAAGTGGCAGTCGTATTTGGGTTATTAAATAAAGACAGGAGAAACGCTAATGTGGCATCGCTCATTATGGATTAAGATTCACTTGTAGTTCCGCTTCCTGTTCTAACAGAAAGACTTGTAGGAAATCTGGTTGGTCCAACCAAGAAAAACATGGGAGTCTTTGGGCATCTCACAGTAATGCAACGATCAACTCTTAATAAGATGGTGACCCGCCCATACGTTTTTCTGCCCATCTTTTAGCCCCAACTTTAACGAGCATTTTCGGGGACTAGCCCGCTTACAGAGGAAAATTCCTCGCGCATAATTAAGGGAGCCATTGAAAGGTGACTGAAACACCAGAAACGGGGACTACC